AAAAAGTAAGGTGAATTTTTAATTTAAACTTCCCGCCTAATTCGAATCGTCCAATCTTTTTTATTTTTAAGTTGGTAGGAATGTCATTAACATTTGCGCCAAAATACATGTCAAACTCATAATTATTTTTTTTTGTTTACGCTTGTTTCTGAAGTACCAAAAGTGCATTCGGCGATTTTCACGATGTCTAATTTTGTTGAGCAAAGAAGTGCTATTAAATTTTGTTTGCGGAATGATATTTCTGCTGCTGAAACGTATCGAATGTTGCAAAAGGCCTTCGGTGAAGAGACTATGTCTCAAAAAAATGTTTACAAGTGGTACAAAGACTTTAAAGAAGGCCGAGAACGTGTTGATGACTTGGAAAGCTCCGGAAGACCATCGACTTCGATTAATGATCACCACATCAACAAAATCAAAGAATTGGTGCTTGCCAATCGTCGGTTAACCATTCGAGACCTTGTTGACATGATTGGAATATCATTTGGGTCGGTGCAAGCGATTTTGAAGGATCATTTGGGCCTCAGAAGACTCAAATCACGTTTGGTGCCGAAATTTCTCAATTTCTTTGAAAAAGAGCGTCACGTTAAAGCGTGTGAAGCAATGTTTTCTGACTATCAAGACGTCTACAAACGAATTATTACTGACGATGAGACTTGGGTCTACGCATACGACCCTGAAACAACCGACCAATCGAGTGAATACCGTGAAAAAGGCGAGCCAAGACCGAAGCAACCACGTCAAAGTCGCTCAAAAATCAAGGTCATGTTGACTGTTTTCTTTGATTATTGTGGTGTCGTGCACTACAAATTCCTTCCAACTGGCCAAACTGTCAACAAGGAATATTATTTAAGTGTTATGCGACGTTTGCGTGAAGCTATTCGCAAAAAGAGACCGGAATTATGGGCCAATAACTCTTGGATTTTGCACCACGATAATGCGCCTTCGCACACGGCACTGGTTCTTTTTCGCCAAAAACTCTACCTATGTTGCTCCACAACCACCATATTTGCCCGACTTACCACTGTGTGACTTCTGGCTGTTCCCAAAGCTCAAGAGACCACTCCGGGGAAATTGTTTTGAGTCCATTGAAGAGATCCAACGTGAATCGGCACGCGCATTGAAGGCTATCCCTACTGAGGACTTTTCGGCATGCTTCGAAGACTGGAAAAAACGTTGGCAAAAGTGCATTGGGGCCGGGAGGGATCATTTTGAGGGGAACGATACAGATTTGGAAGAATAAATAAAGATTTTTAATTTTATAAAAAAATTCACCTTACTTTTTGATCACAGTAGTATAAGCCTTAATATATTAAAATAAAACTAATTATATATAAGCCTTAATAAATTATAAACTGAAGGGTTAAGTTTGTCTTCAGTATCAAAATCTAATATATTAGTGTAAACTAGATACTAAAACGACACATTTTCCTTTTTTAAAAACATAAGATACTATCATCATATCTTTACTGAAACAGAAAAAATATTTCTTACAAAAAAAAATCTATATATATATTACCTGTAGCGAAGGAGGTCGATTAAAAGTCACAAACATGGTACCTTCATTTTTACATCCATTTATAACAAATGAAAAATTCTTCGCTTGCCATTTGCTAAAGCTGATGATAAATACATTAGCAGAAAAAGGTATCTTGTTTGATGTAGATGTAGAGGGTCCTTAGACTTTATAATAAACTTAAATCTCAGCATATAGATTGAAGGCAACAAAAAATGAAAGTTAACCTTGTGGTTCAAGTATTCAATACCAGTGTCGCTGATGCTATCGAATACTGTTGGACTGAACTTACGTTACTACAGTTTAAGGAATGTGAAGCTATAGTAAAATTTAATCGAATGATTGATCAGCTTTTTTATCATTATAGTTCAAGACACCCATTTGCTAAAGGTTATAAAGCAGCACTTCGCAGCCAGTTTGAAGTCCGATTGGCATATTCTATTACAACTAATAAAAGTCAAGATCAAACGTTTGAAAGAGTTGGCGTTTATCTAAAAAAACTCATGTTTCTCTCATGGTCAATTATCGTGTTCAAGAACAAGGGCGTTTAATGGTTTATTTTTTAAATATAATAAACATCCTATTTAAAGTATGGTAGGTGAAAAATGTTACACAGATAATGTTCTACTTTCGAATGTTCTAAATTTATTTTCATTTCACAAAAGGTTGAGAGCACATGTTGTATGTCTAACTTTATTTTATTTATTTTTTATATTTATTTTTTATATTATATTTTATTTATTTTTTATAGTTTTGATAAATATTTTTATCATTTAATATTGCTATAAAATGTGTTACATGAAGTCATATTTGTATGTTGTATATATGTTTAAATTATGTTGTTTCCATGTTTTTAAAGTCGTGTGACTTGGCAAGTGTGTTGAGCAAGTTAGACAACCTTGCCAGCCAAGCGATGTATTTATAACAGATGTGTGACACCAGGCTTTTAATACTTTTTAGAATCAAAAAAAAAAAAACAGCACCCATTAATTCTGTTGTTATTTTTTATTTATAAATTTATTATACTTAATATATTATTTTCGCTGCTTATTTTTCTTGGGAATAATAAAATTCTATTTTTTGTTTTATTTTTTCACTTATAGCCTTTAGTGTGCTTTCCTTTGAATTAAAAAGATATTTCTTTATATTTTCTTTATTAATTTCGTCAGTTTTAATATCATCAGTCATTTCATACAATTCTTTTATACTATTTACAAGGCAAATGCATAATTCTTTTTTTACTTCATTAAGTATATCTGCTTCGGAGGCGTCTTTGAATGCTTTAAATTCTATAGTATATGTATACGAAATGAATTCTACTCTTGTTTGACTGGCGATGTTATAACCACTGTAAATATTAAAGACAAATTTACATGGAAATTTTATATCATTAGAGGTAAATAAATTGATTGCAAAGCAAATATAAGCTTTTGTTTTTGTCAACCCAAAAGAAAGAGCAGCTTTAAACATATTATTTAAATAATCAATATCTAAAAAATCTTGCGACATTAGAAGACTGTTACAATTATTGTTAGTTCCAGCGCCAATCAAGTGTGATTCATTTTTACTATATTGTGTAAAATTTGTATGATTTTTGTAGCTCATTTTTTATTATCTGTTAACTAAAAGCAATGCAGATTAAATTATAACTATAAAGCAATTTTATTTTATTATTAACAAAAGATTCAAAAAATAAACATCTTCATTTATTTTGTATTAGTGAGAATATTCTTCTTAAAACAAAAATGTATAAAAAATGTAGTATTTATTTTAAATACAGACTAAACCTGTTATTTTTAAATATTAACTTTTAGTATTTACTTATTGTAAGTAATATTCTTTTATTATATTACCTTGTTTGAAAAAACAATTAATATAATAAATATATGCATTTTAAAAAAAAATGAATTTTAGCTTAGAAGCAGAAAGTACTATAAGTATCCATGATAAAAAAAGTTTTTATGATACCTTGTTCAAAGAAAAAGACTATAAGTCTATTAAAAATACCCCAGATAGAATATATTTTGTAAAGCAACATACTGTTCCTTTTGTTGTCGGGCTTTGCGATGATATAGAAAATATCGTAAATTCTTGTAAAATAGAAAGTAAGTTTTTGCTGGTAAGGTTTTCTGCGTGTCTTAAAAATTGTAAAAATGAATCAGTTAAAGAATTATGCATTTATGTAGAATTTTATTGTCATACTAACAATAATTACACGAAAAGAATAGATATTGCCGACTGTGGATTTTGCATAAAAATAAATTGGTCAGAAAAAAATTTATTTACAATCATGAGATACTTTGAAAGCTTCTTTTAGGTACGTGCGTATCTGGCTATTTACGGCATCGATTTGTAAGTAAAAAACTGTGACCGTTTTTTTCACAGCGTGCTCGAAGTCGGTGTGGTAAGGATGTATTTATTAGTCTTTTTTTTTAGAATTTTATACCAGCTTAGACTTTTTTTGAAAAGTAGAATGTTTTAGGTTGTATAAATTATGTTTTTTTTCCAAAAGTATTAAGTTTTTCAGTGATTTTATTGCTCTTTAAAATTTTGTTCGTGTTCTGGAAGTGCATTGATATTGAAGGCATGTTGCTACACATTTAAAATTTTCCAGTCAGCTGTGTAAATCTATTTTCTATGTTCCTGCCTAATTTCATTAAAAAATATTCATGCGCAGACACCCTATTTTGCCACCTAGTGGAGGTACATTTTCCACCTTTTTTACAACTACTGTTACTGTTACACTTTATTAAACTGTTTCTGTTAATGTTACTGTTACTTCTTGATATAAATTGTTGTTTTTTTTACATTTACTAGTGATTTTTATTAGATTTTCAAATTTCGTTTCTGTTCTGGAGGTACATTAATATTGAAGGCATGTTGCTACACTTTTAAAATTTTCCAGTAAGCAGTATAAATCTATTTTCTATGTGCCTGCCAAATTTCATTAAAAAATATTCATGCGCAGACACCCTATTTTTCTGTACAGTGGAGGTATGTATTTCCACTTCCGTTTAGGCGGGGAGGGGGGGAAGGCGTAATTTGATGGTGAGCATTTGGTATATTAGATTGTTTATTCATAATAATGAGATATATAGATAGTTTTCATTATAAAGGTATACAATTTTTTTTTTCAATAGCCTTTTATTAGTAATAAATGGCTATTGAAAAAAAAAAGTTGTTAGTAATAATATTACTAACACTATTGTTGTTAGTAATAATATTACTAACACTATTGATGATTTCACACACCAAAATTAGTTTCAAGGCTAAATTCTGTTAAATCTAATTTAAAATGCTGAAATAAAAATTATGACACTTTTTTATGGTGATTCAGAATAAAATGCGAAGTAATGATAACAAACAAAAACAGCATTTTCTCAATTTTTTTCTGTACCCTTAATTTACCATATAACCACCAACCAGCATTATTTATGATATATAAAAATTATATATATCTATAATTTTCTATTGATCAAAAGCAATTTATTAGTTAGTTAATTGTGATTGATTGCTGACCCAATTAAATAGTAATTAAATATTAATAATGATTAAATTACAATTAAAGTAGTGTTATGATCGTTGAATTTAATTTAGTGCATCATGGGACCTAAAAAGAAAACAAATCTATTTTATGGTAAAGCTAAATCTTATTTAGTTTGTAATTTTCCAATACCAGCTCATTTAAATATGGGCTGTAGAAATGGACATGTACTGCATATATTGGCAACTAACAATGATTCATACCAAGTAACTGTAGAACTAATCAGTAAGTATTTTAACATCAACATTTCTCCCAATCAGATTCTGCAACTAGTTAGAAAATCAAAAGTCTTTGTAAAAGCTTTATCATGAAATTCAAAACAATTTATTGACATCTGCAACATGCTCTTTGAATACCAACCAACAACATCTGCTGTGACTCAAACATCATAGTTAATCACAACCTCTAATCACATTGCTACGTGTTCTTCATTTTTTTCTCAGCAAATCACTGTTTCGTCTCTATTAAATAGTGACTCTTCTCAAGAATCAATATCCAGGTTGAAAGCTGACCAAGTTAGTCCCAGGAAAAAGATTATGAGAAAGAGATTAACCATTTTGGAAAACGAAATCGCAGTTAAAAAGAGAAAACATAAAGAAGATCTTAAAGGTTTAAGAGAAAAGGCAAAGGCTAGACCATACAGATTAAAATATCTAAATCAAGTTATTCCTCGTAAGGAAAAGATAATTCATCAACTTAGAAAAAAATTAAAAGAAAATTTTTTAAATATACAGTTAAAAAAACTTCAAAATCAAATTTTTTATTCAAAACAACAGTTAACATTCACCGAAACCAAGTTTTTTAATCAAAAGACAATGTTATCCCAACAACTTGCTGACAAAAATTCTGCAATTCTTGTACTTCAAAATGACATACTGGTTTTACAGGAAAAGTTAGAAGATATTCAGCAAGTAACACAAAACACCAAAAATGAAAAATGCTACTCAGCAGATATCGGAACACTTATATATGTCATGCTTGTGTGCCAAGTTCCTACACATAGTGTGCCATCTCTGCTCCATAAAATTGGAGAACATACTGGCTATCAATTTAGTCAAATTCCACATCGGACAACTGTAGAACAAATGATGCGTGAGCTTGGTGTTCTTTCAGACTTACAGACTGCTGAGATAGCATTTACAACGAAAGATCTGACACTTGGTTTTGATGCAACAACCCAGGAGGGTGTTCATGTAAATGCTGTGCACTTAACAACCGAATCAATATGTATGGTTGTAGCTATTGATCAACTTTCTGGAGGTACAGCATATGACTATCAGAGTCATATTACAAAATCTGTTGATAATCTTGCTAAGTTATATAGTGACTTCTATAAGCTTAAATACACTGATGTAAGAAGCACTATTATCGGGAACATAACAAATACCATGAGTGATAGAGTTGCAACAAACCATGCAACAGTCTCAAAGTTAAACCTAGTTTGGCAGAAATCATTAAATGAACTTAACTGTTACCTTCACCCCTTGGATACAATGACAAGCTCTTGCAAGTCTTCACTTAAAGCATTAGAGACTTCAAAAGGGAAACTTTTTGGAAGAGACTGCATAGCAGCAAACATTGTTGTACAGCTGAACAAACTTCGTTACAAGGATGCTAAAGGTACCTATATAGTTTTAAAACCATTCTTTTACTTTAATATGGTGTAGTTTTGTAAATAAAATTACAAGTTAAAAATATATAAATATTATAATTATTGCATGTTTTAAATTCATATTCTCCTTGCAATTCCCAAAATGACTTTCTTTATGTTATTCATAGGCAATCCAAAGGGTTTTGTAACCTTTTTGGACCAACATGAGTTGCCCAGAGGATTGCTACCACGCTATAGAGGGAACAGACTACATATACTTTTTCACACATGTGGTATTTTGATCTATCATTATGCCATATTGAAGATATTTCTGTGTTCTGGCTTGGCGTTATGTGGAGGTCTGCGAAATAGTTTGTTTTAAGACTTTACATCTGAAATAGGTATACCACTATTATTTACAATATTATAGGTTATAGAATGCATCTTTATAACATAGTAATGACACATGATTAACAAAGAATAAAGACAAATTTTATTTTTTGTTACTTATTAACTAATTTACCTTAGGTATCCGTGAGTTGTGTGTTTTAGCTTTAATTGGAAAGCTACTTTCTGGCCCTTGGATGACAAAATTTTATATTGCACCAGGTACAGGACTTGACTACATATCTAGCATTCAGGTAGTAAAAGATGTTAGGAACACTCTTATTGAGAGCAGCAAGAATCCCTTATCTCTACTTAAACGAAAAACTGATTTCTTTGGTAATGATATTAAAGATGTTGTTTTTGATTCAATAATCAGCTTTTGCCCAGTAACTAATGAAATGAGTAAAGCATTAGGTGACTGTCTTAATGCTGTTATTAGCGTCATTGACAGGCAGTACAAGCGTCAGTTCGAAATGAGTTCCAATGATCTTCTTAAAGACCAGACTAAGTCAGCTAGGCTTCACAACATTGATTCAGAAGAAGTTATGGGTATGTTTAGCGCTGCAAAGCACAAAGCTCCTAATGCTACACTTTGTTTTCTTTCTTCGAAACTTCGTGCTTGCAAAAATAAAACAACTGCTCTGCTTTGTAAAAAGCCAACTGATATTCAAAACAAGTTGATATTATGGGCTATCTCTAATGCCAGGAAAAATCGATTTACAAGTATGCAATGTCATAATGAACTGAAGTTAGAACTGCTAAAACGAATGGCAGATAAAATTCAGAAAAGGGAGGACAAAGACCGCAGAAAGGTAGAAAAAATATTAAAAAGTTGCATGCCCGATCAGGTAAAAGAAATGTTTCCTGACCTAGAAAATAACGAGGCCTCAGATATTGAAGAAATTCTTATTGGAGCTGCTATTGGAAGAAGTATTTGCCACATGTGGTTCGATAATGCCAATAACACCCATGAGGTATATTACGGCAGAATTGTTAGCATTAAAAAGAAGAACAATGATATATATATAGTTTCTTATTGGAAACCAAATGAAAATGAAGATGATGACGGTGTTGAGTATGATATGAGCAAATATCAACTTTCTGCAGACATAATAAGCGGTGATATGGTGATAACATAACAGAATTGTGTAATAATAAGGTATATTTTATTTTAAGTATTAGTATGTCTTATAAACTTGCATTAACAGATAATATTTACAGATAATAGGTGAATTTCTTTTTTTTTTTTTTTTTAAATAAATTTTGCAATGCCTAATATATATCTAATTCCTTCCTTTTTTTGTAGTATTATGAAAAGATTTATAATTTTTAATTTTGTTTTTATATATACATATATTTATATAGAAGTTTAATTTTAGGTAGTCGGGTAGTTACCGACATCCAACAACCAGGGTTGACCTGGTTGCAACGTGCTATGGGAAACCAAAGCTCATTTACTTTTTGACATAAGCAAATTGCTTGGCTTATGACAATTAATGTTTATCATTGATGTTTATCATTATCAATGATGGCAATGCATTTTTCTATCAAGTATAACAGAGTTTCGCTTGCGTGGATTGAGAGATGTTAGTGTTCCATTACAATAAATCCCTTTAAAATTAAAATTTTTATTTATTATTTATTTAAAGTTATCTGGCCATTACCAGAGAGTAATGACCAGATAACTTTTTCTTCATTATAATTTTTAATCAAATCTTTTATATTTCAGGTTAAACAGTATTGAAGGGTCTGCTATCGATTTTTTTGTTTGGTAATGGGAAGTTTGTTGTGTGTCAGGAGTTAAGTGATTTTGAATTTTTTAACTTAATAAATCATTCTTATATTTAGTAATCTCTAATGGGTTTTTTAGTTATGGTGCTAAATATCTAATGCATTTTCATTTATTTTTTATTGCAAGGTTTTAACAATAATGGCAATTTGCTACTGTGGATATTTATGTTAAAGACCTCAAGATTATATTTATTAATTCAGTAATTACAGTTAAATGTTAGTTCATTATACATTAGTTAATTGTTAGCCTTAATTTTTATATTTTTTTTAATTTTATATCTGATATATTTTTTCTTATTGCAAGGTTAAACAACATGATGAAAACTACATGGTTGCTTCAGTAGATGTTGATCTTTTTCATATCAAGATTAAACCGGTTAGATCATATTTATTTAGAGGTTTATTATGTTTATTAATGCAGTAATAACAGTTATATATTATTTATTATCCGAGACATAGGGCATCCTTATTAAATAGGTATTGCGATATAGGTATTGAGAAATTTTTACTTTATTTTAGATATCATTGGATGTGGTTTCCTTTGCGTACTAAAGAATCGACTCTTTCTATCTATGGATGTCACAGTTTTGTTTGCTTCAAAATCTAGGCTTTTTTCTAAGCCACAATTCTGTTAAAAAAATTACTGAGCAAAAAAAAATTTTTTTGTTAAAGAAGTGTGTTTTAAAATAGTTTTAGTTTTTGCGGTTTGTTGGAATTTATATATAATTAGATATATTGGGCTATGGAAGGGAAAAGGAAGGGGAGCAGTGGTGGACATCCCCCCACCCACCCCACCCATTTGTTTAGTTGGATATTTTTTTAGTAGGTTTTTAGTTAAACTATATGATGTAATTGACACGGCTTTTAAAGTGGGGAGGGGGGCCAACTCCCTAATTTAAAAATTTAAAAAAAAATGTCCTCGAAGCAATTAGTGGGGGAGGAGGCATAGCCCCCTATGGTGTCGACGGCCACGAAAGAGGGAGGTGAGACCCCTTCCGTGAATGAATTTTTTGTTTATTTAGTTGGCAAAATATATCTTTATATCTATATCTTTCATTGAAAAAGATAAAAATAAGCATAAATAGAGAGCGAAAACACTAAGGCTTTAAATGTCTTTAAAGTTCATCTATACGCTATAGAAAACCTAGCCTTGGTACATATTTAATAACATAAATATATATAACCTTAACCATTATTATGTATAAATGTATATATATATATATATATATATATATATATATATATATATATATATATATATATATATATATATATATATATATATATATATATATATATATATATATTGTAAGTATCGTTAAAATACACGATATTTTATTTAAAATTTTGTTATAAATTTTAATATTAGATTTTTATCATTAAAAATATTTTTGTTATAAATTGTTAAAAAAATTTTGTTTTATTAAAAACTTTTTTAAAAATGTTATTAACTCGTTTTGCACATTTCACTAAGCAAAATCATGCGCAAATTAACAACGTTCTACAACAAAGCTACCGTTAGCCGAACGCGAGTTTTTTACGATGGTTGCATTTTTCCTGAGCAATCCTTCATAAAAAAAAATGTTACTTAAATAAGCATAACTTTTTTTGTAATTGTTCGTTTTTCATAAAATTTTCACCATTTTAATATAAATTCAAAGCTCTTTCGAACCATATATAATACTTAAATGAATAAATGGTTTAAAATTTTTACACGCGTACCTACTTCTTTCGCGACTTATATCATGAACTCAAAGATAGAGAGGAAAGATATAAAAAAGAAAAAAATGATATGTTAACCTATGTATATGAACTAGGTATGGAATTTTTCTTAGAAAAAAAACCTTTTACTGTAATTTTAGTAATCTATCTTAATGAAGTTCGACATTTATCTACAAACTAATTCTCTTGATATTTACAATTATGTCTTTATATAAAAATACGTCTATATACATACACAATTATTTACAAGTAACGCTAATTGATCATTAACTTTAAAACCATCCTTAACTATACTTACACTTTACACAACAGAAATCTGATTTATCGTCTAGCAGTTTAAAATAAAACAGAAAATTAAAATAACTTGAAAAATCGGACCTCAATTGCAATGAAAGGTTACTTTAAATCAGAGTTTCAAGCCATAAGGACAGTTGCTACCTTGAATAAGGATATTGGAAAGTGAGAAAGTAATGTTATTATCATTGTAATGTCAGAAAGTATAAAGGATATTGATACTAAAATCCATAAAAATTTTATCAATTAATTTGTAATTTTATCAGTAGTTTTGATGATAGCCTTGTTAGGGAATCTCGTATATATCAAAAATATGCTGACAGTAAGTATATTAATGCCAGTGATATAATAAATTACGATAAAAAACACCACGAATACATAAGAGATATATCAGCTGAAAAAAATCACAAAAAAAGAATATTTTCAGAATTAGATATTTTTGTTAGTTCTTATGGAAAAGAAACACCTCCAATAAAAGTTGAAATTCCAATTACTATAGAAAGTACTTACGGGGGATTTTTTTTAATGCATATTTCTGCTGAGCATTACGATGAAACAAAAAAAGATAAAATAACTGAATATTATAATTTTTGTGGCATTAGTATGTATTTATTCGGTGGATATTCGGATCTAAAAAATATTATATTTACAATAAAAAAAATTAAAGAATTTCTTTGCGAACTATATAAAAGATCTAAAAAAATACTAAAAGAACTTTCTCTTAATAAAGAAAAAAACAAAAGTGCTATTATTATTTAAAAAAAACTTTGCGAAGTTATAAAGTACAAACTTGTCGACTATAATTGTGCTGCAACAGCCGCATAAGTAATAAAAAATACATTTAATAATAGCCGCACAAATAGTAAAAAACATAACATGTTTTTTTTGTGTAGCCAATTTTAACAAAAAAGAAACACTCATTATTGTTTATTTTTTGCTAAATGCTATTATATAAATACAAAATCATATAATAAACAACCATTATATAATATATATTATTTTTTTTCTGTTTCGTGTTATTAATCATATCATTCTGTTTGAATTTATTTCTTATATAATTAACATTAAGATAAAAAATGGCTCTCACTATAAATTCTTTGGCAAGCAAAATTCTCATCAACAAAGAAGAAAAGTTCGATAAGTCACTTTTTAATGGTTATTATGATATAGATAATAAAGTTTTGCAAAAAACACATAGTAATGATATATCTGGTTTTGATTTATATTCAGAAATAAATAACTTTACGGATGCTTATAAAAAATCACATGTATACCAATCATACCCATTAATAATAAATACTTTTGCCGAAATAAACAATAAAAACTATAATTTAGAAATTGAATTAAATATAGCCCTTGATTTTTGTTATTATGATAAAATAAATAAAATAGAGTTAGTAGAAAGAACGTATAATTTTTCTATGAATATAACATGCGCAAACAACAATTTCCTTACTGCCATAAAGTTCTTTGCTGAATTCTTTAAAAATACGCTTAATGACTTTAAAAATAAAATATAGACTTTACGTGAAAGAGATTTTTCTAATTATATGGTATTTTGCGAAATGATCAAAATTCATTCTAGAGATTATTCTCCTATAGGTAATTTTAATGATAGTCACTTAAATAAGGGCGCTATCAGTCTAATAAGCATTTATCAGAGCTTTGAAAGTGATAAATATATTAAACCAGATCATATAAAAGAATATAGTAAAAATGAATATATCAATCACTAGCAAAATAACATATCATTTGAAAATTATAAAAATTGTATAGAAAGAATTTTGCATGAATCTTTGCCAACTCTCCTTCAGCGAAGTATTATTACCATCAAATATTAAAATTATACTACTTATAAAAAGTTCATTAATGAATGCATTTGTTATTAATATTTGCGCTTACCACAAAGAAACAGATTACAGCAATAACCAACATGAAAGTAGTTTTTGCATAACTTTTTGCACTAACCAACACCAACCAAGTTTTCTTGCTATAGTAGATATTTTTAAGTCATTCTCGCATGAACTATGCAAAAAATCCAAACAAAAACTGGAGAACTCTTTCTTAGAACAAGAATGTAATGAAAATTTAGTAACAATAATTAAAAAACTTCATAACGTGATTGATTATACTCTTGTAGAAGAAAAATGAACATTGTAGAAGAAAAATGAACATATTGCTATAAAATATAAATAATATTTTACACTTAAAAAATACACTAATGTGTATTTATTTTTTTGCACTTCTTTGTTATTATCATTAATTTAAATTTGAATTAATATTTATGTTGTTGAAAACACAAGCAAGAAGATGATTTGTGACTTTGACGTTAATATTGCTCTTGATTCTCCTATAAGTGATTTTTATGCAGAAAAATACAAAGAAGATATAGAAAAAAGCATAATATTAGTAATAAACAAAGAAAATTATGCAGAAAAACTAATTAATAAACTTGCTGTAATTGAAAAAACCATCTTAATTAATAACAAATATGGCAAAATAACATACTTAAAAACAGAAACATTCAATGATGAAATGTGCGTGGCGACAAGAAGCGTAGAATCAAATTATTATTCTCTTTTTATTAATATTAGTTTTAACTTAGAAACAGATAAAAATGATCGCGAAATATGTATATTCATTGAAATAAAAATAAACAATTCTATACAAAAAAAAGAAGATAGATTATTGTCTAGGAACAAAACTATTAATAAAATATTAAGTGAACTAGTTTTGATTGTACGTACAATTTGTTAAATTACACAGTATTAAATGATTTAAAATATGCTCTTTTTGCTGAGCGCCCGCCTTTACAGAGTAATATGCTATAATGCATTAAAAAATTGTAATAAATAAAAACAACATTTATTTTTTTTCTTCTTTTGTTGGCGGCCGCAAAAATCATCAGTGTCTTAATTTTTTTAGAGTTTAATATTTACTTCTTTTTGATTTTTCTGGGCATTTATTTAAAATAAGTATAAGCAATGACTTCTTCTCAGCCTTATGCTTCGTCTATTGTAATCTCAAAAGGCATGAAATTTATCTATGATAAAGAAAAAGTTGCTGCTGCCGTTGAAAAAAATAAAACAGAGGCAAAAGATTATACAAGCATTATTAAAAAAATGATAAAAAACTTATCAATTTACTATCACTTCACTATCAATAATAATAAAAATATTACTGTGCTTTTGTATGATCTAAAAATCGTGCCATTTTATTATAAGAGTGAAAGCTCTACCAAAAAACAGGCGCAAGATTATGTCTTAAAAATAATAATTAACTTTGAAGTAATATTAACTGGTATTTGCCAAGTTTCAATGTTATTAGCTATGATAGAGCACAAAAATGTAATTTTAAGCACACCAGAAAAAATTATAAAAAAAGATTCTGACACTCTTAGTGAAATAATTGCTGCATGTAGTTTACATTATTAGCAGCAATAAGCAGTGCTATGGATATGATATATTAAAAAAGATAAAAACTTGCGCCAAAGAAGAGCTAATGAATTAAACAAAAACTTGTTAAAAATATTAAAAACAAATGATAGCTAGGATTACTTATTTGATTTTAAATATTGTATTATTAAACATAAATAATAACATTTATTAATCTTACACTTTTTACGCACTTTTATAAAAAAATGGAAAGACTCACAGACGCAT